ATCTGTCTGATCATATGGGCACCTGAAGTTTGTTACTTTTCTGTTGCGCAGTGAAAGTTGCAATCAGAGAATTCATACAACTTAACGTTAAAAACTGTCCTGTGTTTCAAAGTGCGACGGAGTTTAGTTGAGCTACACCGAGGCCGTCCACGGGAAAGGTGAAAGAGACTATTTCATGAGGAAGCTCAGATCCTTCAATCTGTGCAGCAAGATGTTGCAAAGCTCAAACAGTCTGCTGTTGTAAGTGAATGAGATGATCTTCTTTTGTACTTCAGACCCTCACTTATATGTACATTCATAATGTATATGCACAATGCAAATTATTGTTAATATACAGTATGCTACAATATAATAATCATGTTATTGTGCGATACATGAACAGTGATTGTTTGATATTATATGAGGATTGTGCATGTTACTATACAGCTTTTAGCAATATTGCCTTGCACTAATGCACGTTATACTACAGTAAATAACTGTCACTGTACGCTTTATAATCAGTAGCAGTGACTCGGTAGAGTCACCGTTATAGTTTTTGGTCTATTTAGACTAAATATATAGTATATTTTATTTATTTTATAAATATTTAAAATATTAATTTTATTATATTGGATTTCTATATCTCATTTAGTCTATTTTAGTTTTGACCGTCTAGTATACTTGTATCTGTTCCTCTTTTCTTTTTTTGTGATTTATAAAAAGTAGCTGCTGTAACACTGCAATTTCTCCTTTGCTTTTATTAAGTATGGTTTTGTGATGCCCTACCTTTACAGTGCAGGTAAGCCTGGTGTTGCCTATTGTTTCCTGTTTCTGGATCAGCAGGTACAGACATGACCATGGCATGTGATGACTAAGCTCTCACTAACTGACTTTTTTCTCCCAAAAGGCCGTGCCAAGCTTTTATCAAACCATCTGACACGGGAAACGAAAGAAAAGACTTGTTAAAACTCCGTCACTATCGAATCCACACACAGTTTGTTAATCATGATAATCATGGTAATATGAAACATGGGCTTATAGTGTGAGACAATGAGGGAGTGATAGCAGGTTAGCATACAAACGGCCAGCTGTTGCCAACTTGTTATAATACTGTGTGACCACCGAGGGGCACAATCTAGTTTCACCAGTCCTTTCTCACAGGGAACAAAGCTTTCCAGCAGAGTCCTCACTGTAACAGTTGATCACAGTCTTAATAATGACAACTGGTTATTATTCTGTAGCCAGTATCATGAAAACCCCCGAAACAAAAAAATGTCTTTGTTCTGGCAAAAGTGCCAGGGGTGAAAATGATTAATGTACAACAATGTTAAATGTGAAGAAGACGTAGCACAACTGAAGTAATGTTAGAATTCTGACCCATCTGATCTACCCATCTGTTAATCTGCAATATAATGCAATGTGTTATAGTAACCCTGCAACTATTACTTTTTTAAACATCTAAACTTGTTGGATATTTGTTGAAAAAGAAACAGCATTATGTTATTTAGTCCAATACAACACCACCATAACTAAGACCACATAACCATGTGATCATATCTACAGTTGAACCTACACCTTTCTCATGGAGTGTTTACCCTAATATTCTACTTCTTATGCTCACTTTAGCAGCTCAACAAACACACAACAAAAACACACTTAACATTCATTTATCAGCTTGATGCCTCAGACTTTTTTTTTGAAGAGAATTGCTTATAACCCTGATTATGAACTGATGAAATGTTTCAGAGGTAAACATGATTAAATAGAAGGGATTTTCACTTACCCACTGGCCTCTTTATTAGGTACACCACTACAGTCTAATGCAATTAAATAAAACTGTTCTGCCAGTAAGCCTACTTGTATGATGTCTATAATGTTCAGTTTTTTGACATTGACATATAGAGGCGTTAACTCAATTATATGTTTTAACATTGAGGTCATGTAAGCGGTGGAGAGGAGTTTCTAATATCCGGCCTCCCTCGTGTATGGAAATGGGGAGAACAAAAACACCTTTAACTGACAATCCTGACAATGTCAACACAAAGTGAACATTAAACACGTTGTAACTTTGTTTATGGCAGAGCTGTTGCATTAAATGGCAACAGGAGTCGACTGAGTGTATTTGTTCATGCATAGTCCATATAACATAAAATATTTCCCTATTTGGTGTAATAATGCTTTATGGTCATTTCTGTATTTGTGTCACCACTTTTATGGGTTTTAATAAAGTAACAAAAATAACATTCGACGAGAAAAATAAAGGTTGATTGTTTTGTTTGTACAATTATTGCCATCTGTGGGATCTCAATCAATGAGGATGTAAAGCAAATGTCAACAAAACACAAATGTTATAAAACTATCTTTGGAAATCTACGATTTGCTGCAGGGATATTCCATTAGACTCAATGATGGTACGCTACATAATAGTGTGTTATCTATATTGGACGTTTATGAGAATTTGTAAGAATGTCCCTCAGGGAGGCATCTTGATAAGCCCGTTGCCTTGAATATATTGGAGTTCCCCTTGAGCCCTTGTGCAAATGTGTCATAGAAATACAGATAGGGAATGCAAAAACAGGCCGAGGGCGTGCATGGGAGAGAATGTAGAAGTGGACGATTTCAGAATGAGTGACTATTTGGCTGCTTCTCTGAACACTTTCTTACACCCTCGTGGACATCTGCCTATAGTCTGCACACAGAGATGTAATAACACAGTCACAGACACACATCCAGAATAAAAGAAAAAACCTCTGGATCATCCGACATATTACTCACAGGCTACAGCGTAAACTGTGTTTGTTGCTACGTGTTACTATTGGTTACTCTTGGCGTTTGCATCACATTCAAGCTCTTTGCCAAGCGAGGGAGTATTGTACAACAATAATAGGTGTCTTTACATAAATCTATGCTCAAGCCTGGACGTATGGTGTGTGCCATCCAGTCATCAATCAGACAAAATTATTTCTGTACAGTCTCACTTAAATAACTACGTGTTTAGGTAGCCTTTTCACAGCCCGGTATTAGTAGATTTTGGTGTCGAGGCGGAGGCTCACAGCTGAAAGGACAACACTTTAATGGAATAATAAAAGGGCGGATGGGATAATGAATGTATTAGCTCATACAGACCTTTATAAAACAACCAAATTCCAGGAACACACTGGAGTCATTACGTAAGTCCCAGTAAATGACCAACAACACAATGGTTCGCTTGATTTTACTGCTGTCATTCACTAATCCAGCACAGCTTTATTAAGTTATATTTTACAAGTATTTGTCAACATTATAGGGGGGAATGTAACAAAAAAAACCTTTTCATTACTTTTACTCCTTTGCAGTCATCAGATGGTTGGATATAGTAGTACTTTGCATTTTATACTGCTTTGTTTTATTGTAGGGAGTGTACATAAAGATAAGATAAGATAGAATCAATCTTGAAGGAAAAGTTTGTGCTTAAGATGCCCATTATACCTGTGGAGAATAAAATATACTATGTATCTTTACAATGCCTATCATATATGTATATATTACATATTTACTATGTGTAATATCATTGTTCTAGAACATCTCAGCGAAGGACTGCCGGTAAAAATGTTTTGCTTGCGGACAAACAATGGTACATTTACCAAAATGTGGCATTGAGTTCATTGTCTAGGAGGAAAACAGAGTATATGTACGTACTAAGTAGGGCTGCACAATTATTCACATTTTTAGGAAAAGTGCAAAATGGCCGACGGCAATTTTCAAAAGGCAAGGAGGCGCAATATTTGTTCAAGGTGAAATGTCTGTTGAAAAAACCTTTTTTAATTAAATATTGTTGTGGTAGTTTAGTAGAACGCCCCCCCCCCCCCCCCCAAAAAAAATCACACCATAATCATTTTTCAATAAAAGTAATGATGTTCCTTCTAACATTGCAGATCATATCTCAATTGCAATATCAGTCAAAATAATCTCAATTAGATATTTTGAAAAGCTTTCAGACAGTGATGCTATGTACAAATGAGGGTGCAACGTATTGAAGGGTAACATGTTTCAAATACTAGCAAAGAATAAACTAGAAAGATGAAAATGTGTCGCTATGTTATGTAAATCCCCCCGATGGGTATCACTACGATTTTAGTATTTTTCATCTTATAAAATACAAATAAACCCTAACCCTAACACTAACCCTAATAAAATGAACATAAAGATAAAATCTGTCCTCAAAAGGTGTCTTTTTGAGAAAAAGAACACTATTGGGTAATAAATCATCCTTCATTATGGGGTCCGTTATCTAATCTTTGTTTGCATTGGTAACAACATTGTAACAAGTATATAATAGAGGTGGTGGAAAGTAGCTAAGTACATTTACTGTACTGAAGTACAATTTTGAAGTACTTGGACTTTACATGAGTATTTAAATTTCCTGCTACTTCCCTACAATTCTGAGGGAAATATACTTTCACTCCACTAAATATATTTTTTACCTTCCCTTACTTTGCAAATTCTGATTAATAATAACAAACAGAATCAACAAATAAATGATGATGTATTATTTATTGTGGATAAAGATAAGACTGCATGATTCATTCACAAGCTACCTGCAGTTTACATAGGGAAAAAAAAAAAAAATATATATATATATAAATATATATATATATATATATATATATATATATATATATATATATATAAAATAACAATTTTCACACCAATATTTATAATTCAATAATGGAAATAAATAATTCTGCAATGGACCATTCTGCAGAATGATTACTTTTACTTTTGGTACTTTAAGAAGGCTACATTTTGATGCTTACACTTTTGTACTTTTACTAAAGTCACCTTTTAAATGCAGTACTTTTACTTGTATTGTACACTGTGGTATTTCTACTTTACATCAAATAAAAGACCTGAAGACTTCTCCCACCTCTATCAAAGAGTGACTTTAAAGGGAGTGTTGGTGGATCTGGGATCATTCAGACCACTTGGGGGACTCGGGTATCCCAGTCCCAGATCAGGAGGAGGAGCCTCGGTGGAGGAAGTAGCTCGCACAGCTTGGACGTGTGTGTATCTTTATGTGTGTGAGGAGCAGTTACCTCCATAGGGAGAGTGTCGCTAACCACTGGATTGTTAAAACGACAAGCAAAAGACATCCACGGGAGGAAACCAACACGCGGATTCGCTCTCGAGGATCAGTTTTTGTATCCACAACACCACCACCACCCCGCGGGACAGGTTGAAGTGGTGCAGCTGGTCCAGGAGCGAGCTTTATCATGCATTCAGACTGCAGGCTGCTATGGGCAGAGCGGTAATGGTGGGCAGGGAACCGACAGGGGCCGGGGTTCTCGTCCTGTCGATTCTCATCATTCTCACCGCGGAGGGCTGTCGAGCGCAGAAAGGTTGGTGCCCCCACAGCTGCGGTGACAACTGGAGGAGTGGAGAGTGTAACAACTGCACAGCGACATGCGGCCATGCTGGTTCTTAAAGTGTGAACGCGGACCTTTTTGGGGGGTGTTTTAGAGATGTGCTTAGGGCGACGGGACGTCGTTATTGTCCTCCAAACTTAAAAAAAACGTACCTTACATGGAGTTACGTGCAGTTCCGCTCGGGTTTACACCGCTTGCCGCCGCCCGTTACACTGAAAGTCTGGTGTAGTGAAACCAGGCGAACTGGTTCTGGGAAAAAAAAAGATAGAGAAAGTAATAACGACTGCTTGTTGTGGTAGTTGCTTGCTGAATTAACGTGGCTTCTTAAAAGTTTAAAGTCACAATATATTTTTTGTTGCTGTTCCCGATAAGCTACCTTTTTTAAATGGAGTCTGGGTGTGAGGACTGTGTGTACGAGACAGCAGCACATTTAGGAGCTTGTGGCCTTGTTTCTCGTTCCAGGTAACTTGGCCCACTTTATACCCAATACACCGCGAACCTACCGCTGCATTCACAGCCGGCACACTGTGTTGTGATTGTGCTCGGTGTACTCCACTCACTATGTTGTACCTAAATGCGAATATTTGGAAGTTTTAAGAGCCCACAGCCGACCTCAGGTGGTCAGAGGTTGGGGGTGGGGTAACGTTAGCAGTGGGGGTATCTCTCTAAACACGTGGACACCGTTTGTCATAACTCTACATTTCACGTGAACTTAAAAAAAAAAAAAGTGTCTCGTTGAATTTTTGTGTGATCGTCTTAATCTCCTGAGTAGGTCTGATGATGAAACAGTTGGGTGGATTCAAGTTGTATTCTGATTTGGTTTTTGAGCATTGAGGGGTAACTTCAGGAAGGTAATCTGAACTCCTGCTGAATGCCATGCAGTTGTTCAGTGTTTGTGAGTCAGAGTTGAGGGAAGCGGCTTTTGTTTTTGTCCTGTTCATCTGGATAGTGTCCACTGAGAGGCTCTTGCATAACTCCAGGCTCACAGAACATCCACTGAGCACCATGAGGCGTGACCGAGTGTTATCTCAGAGCCCACAGCATCCACACTCCTGCTCTCTGACAGCTCAAAAACAAACCTTAAGTCTCAGGGCATTTTCTCCATCGATTGTTAAGTCAGTTAAACGTCCAGATGTCTTCAAATGTCCTGCTTTTGTTTGACTTACAGTCGAGATTTACCCCCAAAATATTCAGTTTACTCACAAGCCAAAGTAAACCGGCAGTTCCTTTTAGAAAATATTTTTGCATTTTTGTTCAAGCGATGACTCAAAGGATTTATTAATTGTCAAAATAGTTGCGGTCGACTAACTGAAGGATCGTCTATAATCGTTTCAGCTCTGATCCAGAGCAGTTTATAGTTGTCTCACGTCATACTCACAATCTATATCTCGCTTAAGGACTCTGTGAATTGTAGACAGAAGTTGATCCACCAACCTTATGATTTATAGATACATCGCTGTTATCGCCTCATCTACAGGCGCTCCAGATATCACTTACATTTAACATTTAACAGATGGAGGCCAACTACATTTAGGCTGTACTGTATTAACCTGCGTAAAGAAACACAAACAAATCCCCAAACGTAAAAAAGCTCACTGTCAAATCGTTGCAGTTGGGCATAAATATCAGTCTATCAATAAAACTGTTGATACACTTTTTAAAATAACTCCTCTGCTTTAAATCAATCCTCTCAGGGTGAACAACTCATCAGCAGCATCGTGGCGATCGCCTCAGAAAGGCTAAATAACAACATGAGGCCTCTGTTTCAAAATCAAAGAACGCAATTATTAATTTAAAGAGCGCAAAATGTATTTTGAATTTATGAACGATTCTCCATCAAAGTCAGCAGGGGGAGGAGCACAGAAGCAGCTGTTTGCCGCTTGCAGCACCCTCGATGTGACTCTGTCTCCGTCTTCCTCTCTCGTTGACTATCGTTTCCCGTCGACCGTCTGTGGATCGCTACAGTGAGGGAAATGGAGTGAGGGCTGAACGTTCCCTTTACGGTCACGACAAGCGAGCAGGATAACCGTGTTCGTCACTGTCCTGAAACAGCAGCTAAGCGATAGCCACGCGTCTCTCAACCAATTGTTTAGTTGATTTGCCATTTTTCTATAGAATCGAGAATCCCAAACAAAAGGAAATCTATCAGCAAACAAAACATGATTCAACGATCAGTCGACAGAAGGCAAGACTTGACCAACCACATTTGTTTGGTGTGCTGTCTCAGTGGCGTCCTTTGGCCCCTCCTCTGAACCCTTGTGTTTGTGTTGTCCTGCAGGTGATGGCTGTGGCCCCAGTGTACTTGGCCCAAGCAGCGGGACTCTGTCCTCTCTGGGTTACCCGGGGACATATCCCAACAACACGGTGTGCGAGTGGGAGATCAGCGTGCCCCGCGGCAACAGGGTCCACTTTCGCTTCGCCGAGCTGGACATCGAAGACAGCAACTGCCAGGTCAACTACCTCCGCCTCTACAACGGCATTGGACCCGAGAGGAGCGGGATTGGTGAGAGTGACATGCGGATACTCGACTGATTCGGGGGAGCAACCACAATTGGAGCCCTAGTTACTACCGAATGAAATACATCAGACGTTAAACACACAGTGAGGAAGTCACTTCCAGTCACAAATTCAGGCGCCATGTGCTTATGGGATGGTCAAATATAGAAAGGAGCCACAAGCTAGCCCATAGCCTGTATGCATCTCATTAGCCTCTTCTCTGTCTGTTTGCGTGCACAGTCGAACTTACAGTCGAATCTTTGCACTGTTGACCCTGTGATCCTGCAAATATCAAAGTATTTGTTTGCACAATTATCAAGAAATCAAGCGGCTGCAGAGCGCTGACAATGCCCGGTTACTGAAGTGCATGTAATGTCAGTGAAAGACATCGGCCACGTGATTCAGCCTACGGTAACGGTTGTTCTCGTAACAGAGTGCTGCAGGGCTTCCAAAGAGAGTTGCTGGCAATGAAAGTTAAGCTAAATAGTAGATCGATAGATTTTATATATCTATAAATATAGCTAGTTACACCCACCACTAAACAAGGATTCTATTAGCACTAATATCTACCGTAATGTTTGTTTTGTGTGTTAAACTGAACAAGCCTGTTTAACCGACCAGACTCTCTTCTCTCTCCTGCGCCTGTTTCACAGTCAAGTACTGCGGGTTACGTGTGAAGGTCAAAGAGCTGATTGAGTCCACTGGAAACCAGGTCACTGTCCAGTTCATGAGTGGGACCCATCACACCGGCCGTGGATTCTACCTGTCCTACTCCACCACCGAACAAACAGGTAAAGCTTTTATGCTGCGTTTGTGGCATTATCCTCCGAAACGCCAGAGGACGTACAAACAAAATGAACGACTGAAACCCGGAGATATGCCCGTACACTGTACGTGTCACCGGCCACAATCCATAAACCGAGCTCCACAATGCCGAGGAAGGATTGTAATTATCTGTAAACTTGTATCTTATATTCACGGCATACTTTACGGCCCGTACAGGCCCTGTAAAGAAAGAAGTCCAGTATTAAAAGCATTCTAAAGAAAGAAGGTTGACTGTCGTGTAAACCATTTCATTTGGCTGGCAAAGTATTTACTCAAGTGTAGATTTTTGAGACCTCCTTTTTATTATATAATCATATTTTATAAAGCATCTGCAAAATAATTGGCCTTCTTTGTGTAATCCCTGACATGTAAATAGTGCTTTTCATCTGTGAACGCTTTGCGACAGTCACAGGATCACGCCGCACGCGCCGTTACAAATATTCAGAGGTGCACAACCAAGTGCCTCCACCACTACGCACCACGCCCCAGCCGTGATTACGTCATTATCGGTCGTGCGCGCCTCGCGTCGGCTTCACTACGGCAACTATAAACTACGCTTAACCAGGCTGGGCTGTAGGTCGCGAGGCTGTATTTAGGCATGCCAATGTGCTCACAATGACAATGCTAACATACTGACACAGAGCAGGTATTGTTTACAGTCTTTATTTAACTTGTTAGCGGGCTAACGTTTTCCAATTAGCACAGAGCACAGCTGAGGTTGAAGGGTATGTAATTAGTTTTTGCAGGCATCTTGTTAAAGTCACATTTGAATCCTGCTGGTGGCACGAGAGGAAGAGTTCATCATCACCAAAAAGAGTAGGAGTAATCCTCTGGGGACCATGAATGTCTGCGCAGACTTTAATAATTCAGTCTGGTGGGCCGTGCTGCTGTTGGCTGTGGCTGACAAACGGTGTTTTTGAGGTGTTATGGAGAGCGTTCACTGTAAACTGTTCTGTTCCTGCGTTAGTGTTCAGGTCTGATTTATTTTTCGGTAAAAATAGGCTCTCTGGTTTGTTCTATTTAATGTATTGTGTCCAGTGGTGCCAGGGTCAACCTGTATTACTGGAGATGATAAACATTTCCAATCATCCCGTTGGCAAACAGTGTGTGCAGCTCATGAATGGAAGGAAAAAAAGACAGTAACAGTCAAAGAGGACTCTGGTTGAATGGGGAACTGTGTCTCGTTGCTCGAGGCTAAATGAGAGGAGCGTTTACGACGTGGTGTTTGCTCGCCACTGAAGAGTTTATTCAAACACACGCAGATAAAGAGCTGCTCTGCTGTGAGTCGTTTGGTCCGATCAGCCACATATGTGGGCAGGGTCATCATGCCAGTGGGCATCGCCTCAAATCAATGTGTTTTGTTCCCCCCTTTAGTGTGAGAACAGACGGTATTGAATACAGAGGAGTGGCTCCAGCAGATGTGTGTGTATTACCTCTGCTCAGCCGTTTGGTCACTTTGCAGTTTTACAGCCCTCCATCTCTAAGTGCAAAAGATAAAGCGTTTTATTATCGCTGTATCTGTGGTTTTTAAGTTGTGACTTAATTCAATGGCGTGCTGCTGGTATAAGACAGCTAAGAGGCATAGAGGAGACTGTGGACAGCAGGACATTTAGGAGAACAGGGGTGAGAGTGATTGAGAGGAATACTATGTTGTGGTTTTATATTAAGACTGCCTGCCTGTTAGAAGCTGTTTAACCTTCCTCTAATGTGATGTCATTTTTAAGTTGACCTGATGGCAATTTAACATGCTGGTCTCATGGCTGTCAAGTCACGATGGCAACATTTCCAGGTTGGAACCTAGTAACGTTTCTGTATCTCTTTCAACACGGCTACACAAGTCTCAATTGAATGCCGTCAGATTTACATCATTTACTATGATCACTGCAGTGCATTTATTATCTCAACTTATCATCCTTTATACAGAAAGTCATATTATGCGTCCGTGGCAGCAACCAGCACTTTTTAAGAAATAAATATTTAGCGAGGCTTGACATGCAGCATTGGAGTTAACACGGATTAAATGAGGGTCCCAACTTAACGTCCATTGAAGTATACAAATAGCACTGACAATATGCTATTCAGGATATTTCAGTCTGCCAACCGCTTCAGGATCAAGAAGTCGGTTAGATTCAGCAAATCGGGTGAAAGATCTTTCTATTTTCTAGGTCTGCTGCTAATTATTCAGAGTCCTTATTTTGTACAAAACCCAAAGACAATAAATATACAAACTGACCTTTGAGAAGCTGGAATGATTGAACAATGAATAATCACTCATCAAAGTAGTTGGAGGTACATTTTCTGTCAATCCACTAATAGTTTTAGAACTATGAGCATCATTCGCATACAAAGACTTCTCTGCTGCCTGTGAGTTTAAATACTAAAAACAAAATAGTTGATGATAATTGATGCAACGGACATAATCCAATTGATAAATGACTACTGTAGCTACTCAATGCTGAAGTCCATGAGACACAGAAACCGACTCTGAAATGCATTTTCTCCTCAATAAGAATGTTGTTGTTGTGTAATCGTGACTCCAGCCGGGCGCGCTCTGTCATGTGGAAAATCTTCAGATAAAACGGATAATTGAAGCCACAAGCAGAGGGGGAGGGCCGTGACGTCATCGTTGTGAGTGGTCGCCCCGGTACAACCGAATCACACTGAAAGGCAAACACGGCCGCCAAATGGACCCCCGACTAGACTTCCCCTTCAAAGAACCGATGTGTGTGTTTTTTCGTGTCGTGTGGGCGGGCGTGGGAGGACAGTTTGCACAGCTAAGTAAATCAGTCATCATGGCGGCTTGCAGTGGTTTGGGGGGGTATTTGTCAGTCTGAGTCACTGGTTGGTTTCCCAGATAAAAGTTTTTTTTTTTGACAATCTGGTGGAGACTCAGCGAGACTGACTGACCACCACAGAGGAGGGTTTACATCGAGTTCCCAGCAGCCCACAGCATCCTGTCGGGCATATGTGGTGTGCCTCGTCACTACGATGCTCAGACATGTTTGTGCTGCATCACTTTGATGTGTTCGTTGAGTTGCGCTGAAATCGACGGGACGATTGTGAATATTTTGTTGCTTTTCTCAGTCACGGGTGACATTTTCCAGAAGTTTAGGGCAACAACCCGACTTGGTTGAGTTGAGTGGAATCATTAGGCTCATGTTTTGGGTTAAAATGAACCGTTTCTGCCATGAAAAGCCCTGAAGGATATCAGTGAGCGTTGATCTGTTGGTCAGTGTGAATGTGTCATGCGTGGCCTCTTGAATATTGTTTTTTCCAGAGAGAAACAGGAAGTGAAAAAAGGGGTTGATGGGTTAGCCGGAGAGCATGCAGAGAAACCAGTTATGACACTTCTGTTTGTTTTGCCTTTTGCAGATCTAATCACCTGCCTGGACAAAGGGACTGATTTCCCCGAGGCGGAGTTCAGGTAAATAACATTTGCTTTGTGTGGATATGTGTGCAGTGATCACGCTGTTCAATATTCATTGTGTGTGTGTGTGTGTGTGTGTGTGTGTGTTTTTCTTCTTAGTAAATACTGTCCGGCCGGCTGCTTGACATCCACCGAGGAGATTTCTGGAACGATACCTAATGGATACAGAGAGGTGAGGACTTGCAGTAGGCATGCCTTTTCTTTTTGTGGCGTCCTCGGCGTCACATTTCCAGGTGAGTCACGGTGCCCTGTGGTCTCGCGCCGTTTGGTCACCGTTACCCCCACAGGGTCCACCAGACCGTCAGCATCTGCTTACTCATCGTTTCGTGGCTCTGCCCCCATTGTTTTTGTCTCTCCGCCGACGCCCATTGCCGTTGAGCGAGTCTGCACATCTTTCCGTGAGAGCCCTCTCTCTCTCTTTCTTGTGTAAACGGGCCTCTGCTCTGCGGTATGCGAGTCCTGTTCTGATGACCTCACAGCACCCCCGCTGCGCGTGAGGTCATGGGTGCCGAGTCTCTGGCTGATGACTTCATGCTCGGAGCTTTGGGGGGGTTTAGTAGAAGGAAGGGAGTGTTGCTGGCTGATGGGAGGGAGGGAGGGAGGGAGGGGGGTGGGGGGTGCTTCAGGGAGTGAGGTGCCCCACAGGAACAGAGGAGGGGCAGGGTCAGCGGGTGAAAGGGAGGTGAGATAATAGTTTGGCTGAATATAATAAGCCTCTAATCCAGTCCAGCTGCAAGAGGGCGCTGAGCTTGGCTGTGTGCTGAGTGTGTGAGACAGAAAGCTGCAGAGTTGAGTCTGCGCGAGTGAGAAGCCGGAGTTTGCATGCGTGTGTTTTCTGGGTGAAGTGATTCGTGTGTGTGTGTGTGTGTGTGTGTGTGTGTGTGTGTGTGTGTGTGTGTGTGTGTGGGTGTGTGTGTGTGTGTGTGTGTGTGTGTGTGTGTGTGTGTGTGTGTGTGTGTGTGTGTGTGTGTAATATGATAGAGACTGTGGAGGCATACTTCATTCTGCCCCACCCAGACCCTGCAGCTCACTTTCGCTCTCTTTTTCTTCTTACTGTGATCCATGTACTGGTTTTTATATTTCCACATCCCACATATCATATGTCTGTGTGTGTGTGTGGTTTCCTCTGTTGGAGGCAGGGTGCGGCGGTTCAGAGCAAAGCTTTGTGTTAGTGGTTTGGTTTGGAGCTCTTTAGGATGTGCTGTGTGCTTTTGGGAAGTTTAAGAGTCACAGGGCAAGTGTTGATTGCTTGTGTGTGTGTGTGTGTGTGTGTGAGATTACATGTGCTTAGTGGGTCACCAGCGTTTTTTCCCACAATCTTGTGTCAGCTGTGAATTCCAGAGTGGGTCGTTTCCAGGAATAAAATTCCACCTCACTCGAGCAGTTGTTCGCGGTAGAAGGAGCTCATGGCCAGAGTGGAATCTGTGTTTCTGTCCGGTCCTCAGTGATGTGGCAGCAGGTCCGGACAGGAATGCAGCCAGCAGTGAATCATTACCGTCAGTGACCCTCAGTATCTTCTCTACAGAGAAGTGACATCATGCTGACTCATCAGCCTTTTTATCTGCACCGGTCTGAAAGTTAAGAGCTCGTTCTCCGAGCTCACACACTGTGAGACAGTACTGCTGTTTTTTTTTTGTTTTTTTTAGGAATTCTGGAGCTTTGCCTGCATGTGAACCACAGACACTCGGCACCAATTTTGATTCCTTCCACAAAAAAAAAATCTTTGTGCCAAATATTTTAACTCAAAAAAAAGTCCAGAGGTATTTCTTCGTGGTGGAAGATTGCAGATAAAACCCGTCCAGCACGACGTACGTCATTTTATAGGCAATATAAATCAGTCAAAATATCGTGTAATATGATACTTTTTCAGGAAACTCGATTTAAAAGCTGTCCCAAATTTTATATAGCCCTTTTTATGGGGGTTTTAAAAAGTCGAATAATAATCTATTAGTAAATGACTGTTTTAAAACCCACTTGACCACCCAAAATGTATACTTGTTGCACGAGTGATGTTTAAATATTGCCGTCGCAGTCGGAACCAGACAACGCTGCATGTTTTAGAGACGACGGTGAAGCTAATGGAGTTATTTGACTACGGGGGTGGAGAGGTGGACTCACCCGGATTTGTGAAGTCTTTGGAGTCAAAGTATCCAGGCACGCTTGAGCTGGAAGGTGAATAACACCGTAATAAGTGACGCATCACGTTCACTAGTCTAAGGTAGCACGTCCTACACAACCACGAGGCCGGACAAGCTGGAAGCAACACGAGCAGCTCGACGACATAATGAGATGTGCTGGAAATTGGCTTTCATTACTGTTTGTCGTAACGGAAATGGAATAGTTCGTAACCAGCATCCCGTAATCTCATCTGGTCTTGTCCTCTCACTCCGCAGTCCTCTCCTGTGTGCGTGGCAGCCGTCCATGCAGGCGTGGTGTCCAACGCCGCGGGGGGGAGGATCAACGTGGTCAGCAGCAAAGGCATCCCTCACTACGAGGCCACACTGGCTAACAATGTCACTTCTACTGGGTAAGACGGGGGGGGGGATCCTGGGTATATTTTAATAATGGCTTTAAAAACCAACAACGCAAGACAGTTGAAAATCAGATTGTAAAAATAAAAAGATACTTTGAGGTGGTGTTTTAACTGCTTTTTGTTTATTTTATTACTTTAAAGGAGTCAAAATTCAGACAGTTTTCAGTGATTATTGGTAAAAAGTCTCTAATCACTTCTCTCCTCAGAGGAACGTTGTCCAACAGCCTCTTCACCTTCAGGACCAACGGTGAGTTTTCTTTATGTTCATAAGCACCAGTAGGAGCTGTAGTATTTTTGTCCTGTAAATGAAATTATTAAAGTGTGAATGTTGCTGTAATGTCCGTACATTTTTTTTACGAGTCTGCACAACATCTGTCTGTGCTCGCAGGCTGCTATGGAACGCTCGGTTTAGAGTCCAGCGGTGTGGCGGACACTCAGCTGTCTGCTTCGTCTGTGTGGGAGTGGAACAACATCCTCGGTCAGGACAGCGTGTGGGCGCCATCGGGGGCGCGGCTTAAAAGGGCGGGGCTGCCCTGGGCATCTTCTCAGATGGACCAGCAGCAGTGGCTGCAGGTCGACCTCAAGAGGGAGAAGAGGATCACAGGTACACGACCACATTAATTGTATCTATCTATCTATATCTCTCTCTCTCTCTCTCTCTCTCAAAAAATGCAAATTTCTCCAATATACAACCACAATCTTGTTGTTCTTACCGTCGTCTCATTTAGGTATCACCACCACTGGCTCCACCCTAAGAGAATACCAGTACTACGTTTCAGCATACCGGCTCCTGTACAGTAATGACGGCCAGCAGTGGTTCATCTACGGGGAAGCTGATTCTTCACAAGACAAGGTAATCCAATCACCAAATCAATAAACCCCATGTGCTCCACTATTACGTCATGGGGCTTTTAGTTTTCCTTCTCCTTCAAATTAGTGCAAATGGACAAAAATGTCCCTTCAGACGGCTGCAGGGGCACACACTTGCACCGTTTCCACAGCAAACCGGTATGACCAAGAGCTGTTTATGGCAGGAAATGATGACGGTCGGTGGTTTGAGTTAAGTGCTGTGATAGACAAGCCGGGACACTTGGGCATTAATAATGAATGGATATGGATTTAGTGGCTGAGCTGCTCTCTGCTGGGATTCTCACAGGCTCTCAGTGACTGATGCACTAACACTCACTATTGTTCAGGGCGGAACAATAGTGAGAATTGGATATGGGTCGTTAAAACAGTATAATTCTGCATGGATGTTCCTAATGAGGCCTCAACATGTTGCGTTTTCTGATTAGGACGTGCGTGAAATACCGAAATCATCCACGTTTTAGGAGCATTCTTTGGATATGTATACAGTGCATTCAGTATACGCATCTCAACTGGATTTTTTACTACAGTTTGGGACATTTGGTCTCTTGTCTGCCTTGCTCCAAGGCTGGGGAAGTGTTGCATGCCCAAAAGAAAAGCCCCCAGTTCCGTGCTGAAGGAGAAAGACATTCTGAAGGACTTGGATAGCGGGCTGCCTGCTGCCACGTCACTGATAAACAGCTGTTTGGATATGCAGCCGTAGGACGTCATGCACGGGGCTATTGTACATTATTAGGCGTGTGCATGGCTGCATGTAAATGGGAATATTAGTGGAATTCCATTAGCAATGTAAACAGCTTAGAAGGAATATTGTTTTTTGTAATAAGTGCAAAATTTGAATATTCTGCGCATGTAATCAAAGTCATTGTGTAGAGGAAAGTTGTTATTAGCTTGCCAAGTTGGAAAATAATCAGCTTGGTTTATAGTTCATTTGTTCTACTCATACTGGGCTACAGTTTGGTTTACATCTCTGGCATCAATAACAGTTTGTTCTCATTTTACGGTAGATTTTCCAAGGCAACACCAACTACCTGCACGAGGTGAGGAATAACTTCATTCCCCCAATTGAGGCCCGGTTTGTGAGGATAAATCCAACCCTGTGGCACCAAAGAATCGCGCTCAAATTGGAGCTGCTTGGCTGCCAAAATACAAATACAGGTTGGTTTTGTAGCTCAACAAATGATCCAGTGAAAATAGAATTAGAAGCTCCTGCTCAACTCCAAATTCTCTTGTTTTTAGTGAGGCCGGGGCCAAGGATGTTTCCCCCCTCTCGTCGTACTCCACCTCCAGCCGGTACAAAACGACCCCCCCACCTTGGCGGAACCACACACACCCCAGACATTAGAAACACCACTATGCCTCCGCACACTGGCAAAGGTGCGTCAGATTTTTTGATTTAAAAATAAAGACAGAAGCTGGTTTGACATGGTGATGTTTATTGTCGTGTTCTTGCTCTTTAGATGCGGCACTGGCAGCAGTTCTGGTACCCGTGTTGGTCATGGTTCTGACCGCCCTAATCTTAATAGTGGTTTGTGCTTGGCACTGGAGGAGCAGGTGTGTGTGTGTGTGTGTGTTCTCATCATCATGCAAAGAAGAAGAATAACAACTCTCTCTGAAAGCTTTAGTTTGACTGTATTTTTCCTCTCTTGGTAGGAAAAAGAGTTCTGAAGGAGCATATGACCTCCCTCACTGGGACCGCACAGGTATGTAATCCGGCTGCATGTGCTTGGTGAGAGTGTGCCGTGCATCTCATTGTGCTTCTTGCTGCAGACTGGTGGAAGAGCATGAAGCAGCTGCTGCCCTCTAAGATGGTAGAGACGGAGGATTTGGTTCGGTACAGCAGCAGTGAGGTGGGCCGGCTTTCGGGGAGAGGCGCTGTACCCAGACTGCATGCTGAGCCCGCAGGTAAACGCTGTTCTTACTGATTCCCGGTATGCAGACAAGTTGAGTCTTTAGAGATGGTGGCTTTGACAACACAACCAAACTCCAGTTTAAACACAACTCTGATGACATGCTGTATTTTCAGAATATGCTCAGCCCCTGGTGAGCGGCGTTACGACGTTAGGTGCCCGGTCGACCTTTAAACCAGACGAGGGGCCTGACCCGGGATACTCCGATCCCGACCTGTACGATGCACCCATCTCGCCAGACGTGTACCACGCCTACGCAGAGCCCTTGCCAGCCTCGGGATCCGAATACGCCACGCCCATTGTGATCGACATGGGCTGCCACCCGTCGGGGGGCTCCTCTCTCAACCAGCCCCCCGCAGTGTGTGGTTTCATGGGTGCACGGACAGACGGCGGCCACTCGGGGCGGTCGGCTTACGACACGCCCAAAAATGCCACTGGACAGGTCACGCCCACCGAGGATCTGACCTATCAGGTACCTCAGAGTAGCACTCAGAAGCCAACAGGAAAGAGCTGAAGAGTCTGGATGCACATGGCCTTAATCTGGCCCCCCTCCGACCTCACTGCCAACCCAACAGACAGAGATAGAGGGTTGTTAGCGGAGAAGTGAACCTGTGAGCCCTGGAGCCTGGGCTCGAGTCTTGAATGAACACTACCTTAGCTTCAGATTCATCTGGAGATGTCTGTATTGCCTAAATGTTTCTGCATGGCCACATTCTGCTCGTGTAGTGCCATTACAGTCCTATCACTGAAACCACAAAGATGAATGTGTTTGTGCCAGGTGTGAGCGGCGTCGATGGGGGAGGGGCGTGGATGAAAAGGAGAAAGCCGACTACTGTTAAAGACTTTGTCCCTGTTCTGTGATCGTAGTAGTTGCATTCTGTGAAACTGTGATTTCCATTGTTCTTCTGTTACATGCTGAACTTAATGTACCTGATGAGTAACATTCATCAAATCTAAAGGGTCCTCTTAGTGAATGAACTGCATGTTGCATTAAGTGTCCCACATCCACGGTGAAAGAATTCCTCCTAGTTTTCCACGGTACGTCTTTTGTTTAAAAAGCATGACTTGAAATTGTGTATAGTTCTAGTAATCCCATTACTGCAAAACCTGTTTAAACTCTCAGATGATTTACTGATATTTATTTTTTATTTCACATCCTGCTGATGAGAAACTTTGTTAAAAAATAGCCCGTCACTGATTAGACGTCCAAGAATTGTGGTTACTGAGTAGGTTTTAATTCTTAAATTAACCTTGTCAGATGTTGTATGTTAACTTGAAAAGGCTAATCGGGAAGATTAATCCAATGAGGTTCACAAAGTGAAGCTACTCTTTGTCATATGAAAGACCAAATGTTGCCTTTTTCTGTGTATATGCAATGTTATTCTCAACAGAACCACCTGTTACGATTGTGCCAATAAGCGCAAGTTTAGCCAAACCAACGATAAAGCAGTCTTAATGTGTGAAAAACGTTTTTAAAGGCCTAGTTAGATGAAAGAAAAGGTACAGAGAAGAGTTAGGTTAATCTCTTACAGCTGATAGTTTCCTGTGTGTTTGTCCTGAACTTTTAGATTTTATTTGTGCATCGTGGTGATCGTCTTGTGTTGAAGTGGGTGTTCTTTCCTTGTATCTATGTGCATCATCTGTATGTGTGGTCAGCCGGTTTCGATGCGGCTGATAGTTGTATTGTAGGATGTGTTGAGTCGTCTGTAGCACCAGTTGGACTGCATTCCTCTCCACCTGTGGTACTAATCTGACCAAACACTCTGTGGCAGGAGTGCAGATGGAGGAAAAAAAAAAAAAAAAATGGAACAAGCTGCTTTATAACTTTACAGAATAGCAACCTCACCAGGCGGAGGGGTGGGAGGTGATATTCACACAGCTGTGCCACCAATCATGCTTTGATTATGCTCAATAAGCAGGGCCATCTACATATGGTTTGGTGCTCCCTGGTCACAGAGGGATTGTGTTTATGTGGCTCTCACTGACTGTACATAAAGAGTTTTAAAAGAAAAATGCTTTATTACAATCTTTAGCATTTGCGCCGGCTAACCTTCATTGTGCTGTAATTATAAAAACTTCCACAAAATTACAAATGAGCATTACAGGGTTTCTGTATTATGTTATCAAAGTGTAGGTTTCTTTACTTTGCATTTTCTGAGACAAATTAGAACTTTTAACACCTCAGTGAATGATAGTAAATTGTTAATGTAATAATTGTAAAAAATATATTATGTTAAATATTGACAGTGCATTTAAAAAAAAAAAAAAAAAAAAAAAAGAATCAAAAGTTCAAGTAAAATCAATACATAAGGAAACATCACAATAAAAGCCCTGATATGTTCATATAGCTGGGAAAGTAGTTTTCCAGATGTCAAACATAATTCCTCATTGTTTTGTCAAACCATCACATGCATCAAAGTTCTTGTCATTTCCGATTTGTTGTCTCTAAAAACAACTCCTACAGCACGACACTTTTCAGCCACTCGCGAGTTCTTCCACTCCTCGGCATCCCAGTGCACCCCTTACCCTTCATTCCTCCATGTTCCTCCCGTTCTTCCCAAACTTGCACCACGCCACCGTGAGGACGACGGCTATCAGTAGGATCAGGCAGCTGGTTATGAGGTAAGCGACCGGCAGGAAATGGTTCTGACCTCCGAACCAGGTCAGCGTGGTCAGCACCACTTCCTTTCTTCCCCGGAAGTACTGCACGGGGAAGTCTGGAAAGCCGAGAGGTCAAGGCTGAAAACAGGTGAACACGAAGAGAAGCTAAACGGAGAACAGCCGCCCTGGAGTCCTAAAATAGTCCCTGTCCACATGCTTGCGTTTAACAGGAGATAAGACAAAGGAAACTATCGGACATGCGTGACATACTTTAACCCACGCTACAGTTAGCAGTGAAAGGATACTGTAGGATATGTTGATGCTGTAATTCCCTGCAGGCAGACCCGTAGTAAAGGGCTTTGTGGCTCGGTATAAAACCCCGTAGAGCTTCTTGAAGTTGGGGAAGGCCGCCTCCCTCATCCACACGATCAGGTCGTCATTGATGAAGCCGTTGTTGATCGAGTCATGGTTGTCAAGCTCGTACACAGGCTTCTGCCAGTACAGAGGCTGCGCTGTGCCTGTGTGGTAATCACAAATCAGACACGATGAATGACGCCAACGAGTCCGACGCTTTCTGTGTGTTTCGTCCCCATTTACCTTCGAACACTTGAGCGAGTGTCATGTTGCCGTCCTTGGGGTTGCGGTACTTGATGTTTTTGTCCGTGTACCAGGTGAGGCCTGTCCGTATCAGAGGGACCGGAAACACAACACCCCTGGAGTCTCGGTAGCTCAGAGTAAAGGAGTCTAGGAGAGCACATGTGAGGTCAGAGGTCAGAGGGTGGATGTGATAAGTGATGTGCGTTATGAGGGGTGTTTACCGTTGAAGATGCTGTTGGCCACAGCACCACAGGGGGCAATGGGGAGTCTGTTTAGGCCGTTTATGAACGGCTTGCAGTATGTACTTGGGTTCTGGTCAGGAAACAACGTTAGTGGTGAAAAGAAGTATGAAAGCAGTGGTGTGCTATGTACATTTAATCAAGTACTGTACTGCAGCGCAATTTTGGGTATTTTTTATACTTGCATATCATTTTATACAACTTTTTACTACTTTCTGAACATTACTTTTCATTGTCATTTGTAATTTATTGATATTTTCATATTTCATATCTTGTCAACAGTATTGTACGTAGTCATATCTCATGCATATTCATTTTATGTTCTAATATTCTACAATTTTAATATGATATAGGTGGAGGCTTCAAATACACCCAGTTGGCTTTTTGGCTCTTCCTGCTCTGTGATATTAATTATCTCTCTTGTGTTTGTTTAAAATGTTTAAAATAAATAAACTAAACTAGACTTTCCAGATTCAGGTTTTACTTGCAAAATATTTGTTCATTCATAAAAATATCCATTCGTACATAAAGTTAAGATTAGCGTCACCTCCACACTCAACTGTTAGTACTTATATACTTTTACTCGAGTACGATCTTAAATGTTAATACATCGTGTTTAAAGTGACATACCTCATCCTTCCAGCTATCTGAGAGTATTTTATGTCAACATAATACACTGACAGTACAGAAAGTGTCCTAACGATGTTATTGTGGAGCACCTTTAAGTTCGTCTTCCTTCCAACCATCTGTCCATCATCTCTGGAGTCCATGTATCTGCGGAGGTTCTGATGGAAGTTCTGGAGGCCATAGTAGAAAAAGACGTCTCCCTGGAACAGCAGCAGGACACATCAGCATAGTTTCTTTCAGATTAAAAGCACGCAAAAGAAATGAAAGCATATACTTGACATTGGAATATAGCAGTTTGACAGATCTTAACTGCGGCTCTCTTACGAGCTTTCAACCACACGTTGAATAACTTGGGTGTCTGGAAAAAAAAGCTTGTAAGTGAACCCCAAAGTTCAGATTGCTTTGTCACACCATGTTGTCAAACTTAAAGAGATCGTTTACCTTGAATGCCTTTTTAATTTCAAACTCCACCTTGCAGCTGCAGGTTTGTGCTGCGTTGCTCACATTTTTACGCAGTTTAAAACATGTATCACATGTCCCGGACTTTGTGTAGTCCAGCTGGAAAGACAAGAGAGAGTTCATTACAAAGTAGAATGAATTGCGAATAAACTGTTTTCTGTTCACGAAACTCAAAACATAACCGTGGGTCTTTCCTCTCTTTGTCTCTCCCTGTTTTATTGCCCACGAGGGTGTTCAGTCTCTCTCACAGGCATATTACAACACATATTTTTACATATTAAAGAACGACTAAATAAGAAAGTGCAATTTTTTTTTTTTTTTTTTTAGAAACTCCCACACTCACCTTTTTTTCCTGTGTGCTCTGCACCGTAAGCAGCAGCCATACTCCCAGCAGCATGCACAGCAGAGCCATAAAGTAGAAGAAGGGCAGCACAGTGTTCGCAGTTAGCATGGGGGACCAGGCAGGCAGCCTCTGCTGTTTGAAAGCAGAGTTGTCCGGCCTCCGAGCCAGGGGCCCAGACTTGCCCTTCACTTTGCCCATGAGAGGGGCCGGCGGTTATGGACAGAAGAGGAACTCGAGACAAGCTGGAGATCCAGAGAGTGTGTCAGAGATGGCGCTGCTCTATCTTCTCTTCCTGTTCTTTATTCTAGCGTTATCTTCCTGCACACACACACACACACACACACACACACACACACACACACACACACACACACACACAGCTTGCCAAGAACATTTCCCAGAAGGCTTTGCAGGGCGGGGGTGACTGTTGTGGCCTGTTACTTATTAACCACAAACCTTTACTTAACTACCTCTTTCTGTTTTCGCTTTTTTTCTCTTGTGATGTGATGCTCTGTGCTTCCTTCTTACAAGACAAACACAGCTTTCTGTTTGTTCACATCAAAACGCCACAGGCGTGGATTTATTGTGTAATATATCTTTATTCTAATTCGCTGTCACAGATAATCTGTTGCCCCCCCCTTCGCGCTGCTTTAAAATGCTTTATCAAAGGATGTTATGAAAAATGGGACTTCCTCGTGGGCAAGTAAACTGATGACCTCACACACTCCGTAGGAGGGGCGTCCCACGGTCAGACTAAACAAACAACAGAGGACGCTGGTTTCGTTCAGAGTCTGTTTATTCAATCCATCACAGTGGGACGTCGCGTTGGACAACAGCAGCGAAACAAACACCACCTCGCATTTGACACGGGCTCCAAAAACAGTAAAAGCACAGCGCAGGTTTCACGCCGACACAAAAGGGAGAACAAACAGGATGAGGCCCCTCAGCGAGGAACATCGATCTGTAGCTTTAAACATCAAGGCGTCCTTTGGATCATCAGCACATCAACAATGTGCTGCTAAAATAGTCCAAACTTGACTTTGTTTTCTTTGCAACCGTTCAGGATACCACCCTGCAGCAGCTTCATGAAGTCCAGTTTGACCTGAAATAGACACATGCGCACGATGTATAACACAGAAAAAAGAACAATGACTTGTGTCTAATAAGGTGTTTGACAAAAAAAGTTGTAAATTACATTTTAGCTCCTCCCTAATTGACAAATCCAGATTATATAAATATGCAAATATTGTTCATATCAAAAAATGTCACAGCTGGACAGAAGACGTCTCCTACTTCTCACATCACGCACACAACATGCATATTGGACCATGACACACAGTGTGTGAGAATACTCAGTTACAAGTAAAAGTCCTGATTTATAATCTTACTTAAGTACAAGTTCAGAGCCTCAAGATGTCGTCAACGTACCAAAAAGTCCTCATTATGCAAATGGTTTTCAGATATTTTTAAATTCTACTACAGGATTTTAATTAGTGATGGATTATTTTTTTGTAGGTCACATTAATGTTGCAGCTGGTAAAAGCTGGCTTAACCTATAATAACACATTATGATCTATTAGTTGATTTATAATTTGTTATTGACAATCTGAATCTGCAGATTAATTAGTCATTTAAGCAGTCAAATAAATGTAGTGAGGTAAAAAGTACAATGTTTGCCTTCAAAATATAGTGGAGTAAAAGTATAAAGTAGCAAAACATGTAAATTGTTAAAGTACAGATTCCTGAAAATTGTACTTCAGTGATTCAGTAAATGTATTTAGTTACATTCCACCACAGATTAAACTGAGTTAAGACAAAAACAACTTCCTCCCCTCAGCAAATGAATAGAAGAAGAGCCTTCTAGTGTCTCTGCACAGGCACAGTGAAGGTCTAACACCCGAGTGAAGTAACAATAAGAAAAACATATTACTTTTCATACTTCATAAAGCCGTGCTGTGTGATAAGACAAAACAAGCTGATTGTCTGCTCAGTCCAGCAGGGGGCAGTAGCTCACCTCGGGAACGTCCATCATCCTTCTTAGCTTCTGGTCCCTCCAGTTCCAGTCCAGAACCACGTACTTCAGCGCCTGCAAGCTCAAACCCTCTGGACCAAAAACAAAGAGTTTGCACAAACAACATCAAAGCGCCTGGAAGTCTTTAACAGGAGGACCGTTGTGGCCACACCTACCTTTCTCAATCAGAGCGCTGATCCTGCCGGGCGTCCCTACTCCTATGTGGGTGACGCCCTTTTGCAGCAGCTTCACCTGCTCCTCCATCTGTTACGGACATAAAGAGAACCCGTTGAGTTTGCTCCGACAAAAACCCGCCGTTGAACACAAAGCGCATGCATCGCGATGACCCGTCGGTCTCTACTACCTTGATGTGTTTTGCGAAAAGTTTTAGTGCTTTGGCTTCACCCTTGAAGGCGGTCATCTGCCTGGAAGTAACACAGAACAAATCGTGTGAATACAATTTGAAAAAGTTGGAAAAGAAGGAATTGAACAAGCGTCTCTGGTGCGTCACTCACTTGATGAGCTCAATGGCTCGGAGGGCGGAGCTACAGACGATTAGCAGAACCACAGAACTCTTCTCCTTGTGCTGCTTTTGAATCTTCGACCACTTGGGGCAAACTAACAGGAAAAAAAAAAAAGGGAAATAAAAGTGAGACGCGCGTGTCAAAAGTCAACAGCTGATAGGTTTGTAGTTTAGAACAACACTAACCCTGTTTCAGATACGAGGAGAGGGTGTGCGTCAAGTCATTGCTGGACAGGAAGCTGGAGTCTGAAGATGGCGGGAGAGCAGACGGTGACCTCAGTGAATCAACAGATCAGCAGGTATTGGCCGAATTTCACAGTTTAAAGGGGACTTGCCCCGACTCACCGAGCAATTTGAGCTCCTCCTGCTCGATCACAGAGAGCTTGTCTGCGAAATACTGCGTGACCAGGGTCTGCAGGTCTGCCGGAGAGCCTGGTTTGGGCTCCGAAGACGACAAGACATCCGTAATTGTCTTCTTCTGGTAAACGAAACACAGCATTGTACAAAAATATTCACAAAGCCCAGTGACTGTTGTCCCTCTTTATTAAAAAAGAAAAGAAAAAAAAAAAGCAGGTGTCACCACACTCACCTTCCTCTTTCTTTTGGGTTTTGTTGACTTTTCATCCTCGGTGTCTTTCTTTTTAGGAATAATACACTCTTTCTGTGAAAACAATACACGCAGATTCATGAGGATAATCCTGCATAATCCTCATGAATAAAGATCTGAGTTCATTATAACACAAAGAAAAACACAAATATGTTAAATTATCCATCCACCCAACAGTCCAAGCCTCAAAGATATTCTTCATATTTACTTATTTATTGCCTAATTGTTCCAGCTCTAAATCACAGTCCAATACAAGTTCTGTGCCATTCATTTGATACACTACCTGATATCTATTCAATCTAACAGAATAACTTCCTGATAATGTCACATAGTGGTTTAGAAGAAAACTGTTTTACGCGCTAGGTGTGCTGGAATAATAAAAACTTTTAACTAGCAGCTTTTACACAGGAAGGTGCAAAACACTAGAATACCTGTTGAGTCTTTTTCTTCTTCTTGGCCTTCACCGTTTCCTCCGTTACACTCTTCCTCTTCTCTGGTTTTTTCGTTTTGTTTGTTTTTTCTGTTGGCGGTTTCTCTTGTCGTGTCTCCTCCTCAGACGCATCTGGAAGAAAAAAAGAGGGAGAAATTTTCCTCATTACACTTCTGGATATATGGGTTAACTTGCAACTGCAGTGCAAGATGAATGAACTATTAAGATCAGAATCAGCTTTATTGGCAAAGTTTTTAGGATGAGAACACACTACAGGTTTTGCTGTTAGACATAACCCATGGTTATAGGCTTATGGAGTTATAGAATCTGTTTCCATAGTTTTGCTCGTGGACCAGAGATTTGGCATTTGCACATCATGTTTTTAGGCTGTTTGGTTTCCTCATCAGGTGCAAGTGTTCTCCAGGCAGTACATTTCAGTCACTACAGAAAACAAACGTTCCCCGAGATAACAATCAGGCAGCATGTGGTAATATTTAGCTTCTCTGTTGCTACCACTTCTCTGTGCACACCTCTCGTCTCATGCCATTTCGTTGCAGTGCCCTTCCTGAGAGTGCATTTTTTAAATTCCTACTTTTTCTTTGTAGTTCCTCCAGTCTAATATATCGCCTCCATCTTCTCTAAGTGGACCGTAAGAGCCAAAGTTTGAGTTGTGGTGGTGATGTCGGACTACTTCTATGAGATTTTCAGAGGAATCTGCTGATGTGTGTCTGCAATGGGTTGATGGTTCAAGCAAAGCATGTAGTACTGCTAGCCAAAACCTCATCAGAATCACCAAAAAAAGTTATTATATCACTAACTACTGATGGAAAATACCTGCTGGGACTCACTGATAGGGAACAAGATCTTGACCCATAGGGGCGTGGCCAGAGCTGCAACAAGATCTTGACCCATAGGGGCGTGGCCAGAGCTGCAACAAGATCTTGAACCACAGGGGCGTGGCCAGAGATGCAACAAGATCTTGACCCACAGGGGCGTGGCCAGAGATGCAACAAGATCTTGACCCACAGGGGCGTGGCCAGAGATGCAACAAGATCTTGACCCATAGGGGCGTGGCCAGAGATGCAACAAGATCTTGACCCATAGGGGCGTGGCCAGAGATGCAACAAGATCTTGAACCATAGAGGCGTGGCCAGAGATGCAACAAGAGCTTGAGCCATAGGGGCGTGGCAAGAGATGCAACAAGAGTTTCCTACGTTCATTGATTGAGTTCAATCTAAAAGTAAGGGCTGCAAAGAAATGGACACACATGGCTGTATTAATTTAGCCATTACAAAAGATAAACTATTTAAGATAAACCTTTTCAATGCCTATATAGCTTACAGATGAAACAGGATAAGCGTTTTCTGAAATTAATACATTTGTACACCTCTAATTACGAGCACAAAACAGCATTTTAATTGTTGACCCAAACTTCCTTTTATCATTTGCACAATATAGCGATAGTGAAACCTCTACTGAGCCATCACGATGCAGAAAAGCCTGTTCACGCTTTTGTTCCTAGTTGTTTTGACTGCTGTAAAGCTTTGTACACTGGCCTACCAAAAGCAGCCATTGCAAAACTACAGACCATTCACAATGCTGCTGCCAGGGTTTAAATAAAACCTGAAATAGGTTAATATATCATACAACTCCTGTTTTACGTCAACTACACTTTCCCTCCTTTATATTTTAGAATTCATGTCAAAGTCCTTCTCTTAGTTTTTAAGGCACTCAATGGCCTCGCCACCTTTTTATATCTCCCTACAGTTTTATGATCCTAAGAACCTTAAAAACAGCTGCTCTTAACTGCTCACAGCGCCCCAAAAATATGGAACACTCTGCCTACTATATTGCCAATAACTAGCAGTTGTCCATCTGTCTTATCTTTTATGATTTTATTTAATTGTGTATCTTCGCCTGGAGGATCACGCGGTCGCGTGTGACCGTGAGCGAGTGTGCACCTCCGTGTCTGTCCATGACTAATCTAGCATTCTCCTGCAACAAACTGCATGATATTGTGGGCGTCCAGTTATGGCCGCATGCTCAAGGACCTTTCATGGTTGTGGTGACTGACGTTTTATCAAAACACCTTTTATTGCATGTGTCATACTGATTTGGTGTTTTTCACCTCACGCCAGATGTTCTGCCTCGTCCTCTAATTTCCCATCTCACAATTGATTCATCCTTACACCACTTTGTTGTTGGTGATGTTTTTTTCTTTGGGGGCATTATAGTTGAGGACCATAAAAAGAAAAGGACAATGTGAAGGATGGATACGGGATGGTAGTCCACTCTTCCACTCGTTTTCATTCCATTATCCAATAACCACACCCCTTCTCCACATCAAGCCTCACTCTTAGACCTTCGTCCTCATTTGTCATCTGTCCAGCCATACACTCCCTTCGGCTGAAAGACCACTCCCACTATTGATGGGTGAAAGCAATCATTTCCCACTCTCTTGCTGTGCTAGAACTCATCCCCTTCTCCCTCTCATGCTGAAGGAAAGTGAGGACACACAGGTGCCAAAGACCAGGAAACGGAGGGAAGAAGGAAGACTAATCACACAGGAGGACTTCAAGATACTGGATATTTAAATGGATTACAATCAAAGCAAGGTCCAGTATATATGACCAGTAAGCGGTTCACCTGTTCTGCGGCAGGTAAGTGTATATTTCCCTGCTGGTATTTACGGGTAGGATCGGGCTTTGGGCTACACGGTTGCATGGCTGTTTTGTACTCAATGAGCTGTGAAGCACACATCAATACAATAAGCCTGTGGGGTTCAGAAGATAACCAAAACCCTCAGATGAGTGGAAGCTGAGGTTAAGCCCCGACACACACTTTTAATTTCACCGTTAACACTACGACAAACTTAACACACCGGTCAAGGAGCCATTCAGCAACACTCTTGAGGTGATGAGCCGTTTCAGCATGTATTTAATTTGGTGTGTAGGGGATGACTCATCAATTACAGGGTTCTTCTACTCATTTAGCACCACAGACACAACGCACATATTTTTGTACCAATACATGTCAACAATGTAACATCACAGAGGCTGTAAGGTGTCACGGGGGCCATTATTTTCACCCTGTAAGACAGTACTGAAATATCTCTGATGCTCACCAACAATGCAATCAACCAGACACACATTAAGTATCTGATTAGATATTGCAGTTTGACCAAAACCGGACAGTTTCCTGTACTATAGTATGCAAGATAAGAGAACACTACAGGTCATTAATAAGTTACGGGTGATAGAAAAATAGCTTTGGGTTCCTCTATCTTTTTAGATGCTGTCAAACAACATTTATCTGGAGAATTCTGAATTTATGAGGGCCTGGGGGCCCGAATTCATTTAAAGTCATCCAATCTGTACATCCAATCCGTTTTTAATTAGCACTTGAGATAATAAAGCCTTAGAATGGATGGTGAGAGGCACATATCACTGATTAATCACACGCAAAGTGCACGTTTTAATGACAACCAAACCAGGCTGAGGATGGTGCGCCTACCTGATCAATAATAAGGGTTTGCAATGAGACCGACAGGGCTTAGTGAATGAGGTTCTATTCATCACTGCTGGAGTAAAACACACTGGGTAACAAATTAAAGGGAAACACTAAATAAAAAGTAAGGTGTTGGGCTGCCACGGGTATCTGACTTTAAATATTGGGGTTGACCAGATATGTGCTCATACGTTTCTTGGAAATAAGTCATTCAGCATGAAAAAGCATAGGATATTTATTATGTTTCCCTCTTTATATTGATGATAGCACTGGACTGTGCAGGATTGTAGTAGTAAAGTGAGAAGGGAAGAGAAAAACTTCTGTGCTTTGTAATCCTTGCTGCATAATTTTGCATTCAGACTGATGCCAATGCAATAACCAGGGCAATATACAAATCAATAGACTACATTTAAATTGCAATACAACATGATGATTGAAGGGCTTAAAGAACCCTTACACCTAGGACGTATGAAAAGAACCAACAAATGAATGCATTAGCCAAGAATAAAAAGGACGGTGAACGAATGGAGTCTGTAGCAACAATGACAGCGGTTGACTAAATGCAGACTTGATAAATAAAGCAGTAGAAGAAGAAAAAAAAGAACTAGAGAACACTGATTGCACTTATGTCTCTGTCCACTTTGACTCTGATGAAGACGCAGTACGAACAGACTAATGTGTCGACTCCACTATTAGAAGCTGCAAATCAATCCGTGTGCTCCGGTCCCTATTTTCCCTCGTAAGTTTGCTGTCCTCGAAGTGAAAAGCAACTGATTCCGCGGAATGCTGGGGGGGGTGGGGGGGTTGTGGTATGTGCAAAGAAGGCCATTTCAAGTGATAATCTATGAGGTCAATATCTTCAACCTCAGCCGTATCCCCTCCCCGGTATCCTCCATGCCACACTCGACTCGCTCCAGTTGGTGGAGCCAGTAGGAAGAGACGAGTGCGCTCTCAGTTGCGTACGAAGCGACGGGGCTTACAGCTCAGCTAACTGTAGATCAATGAAAGCCAAACGGCTGTGGAGAGAGCTCAGATGTAGGGAAATGGGGCGGCTCGGCCATCTTTTAATGGCTGATCAATAGAGGAGACTGGTCCAACGGCGCTGACTGGATTGTAAAGGAGGATCAATCGACTGGTGCCAGGAAACGGTTGATTGTTTCAGTTTCAGACAAACGGCACTCGGATTTGGTTATTACATTTTTAAAGGGTGATGTGCTCACTCGTGTCAACTGGCACTGTGCCTACACAACTGACCTCTTAATCATCGACACAGTTAACTATTAGTCGGAGTAAAGATACCACTTTGGGTAGCGGGAGGATAAAAGGCCACTGATCCCTCTACACAGGCCAAAACACGTCACGTTATAGGAATGGAGACGCCCACCGCCCCCCAAATACACTGTGCAATGTTTCTGTTGTGTGCTTCCATAATAACAATATGATACTTTCCCAGGAAATCAATTCAGCGCTTGTTCAAACAATCAATAAACTCATCTCAGGACATGTAGTATTGACTGATTTGGGGAGTGGTGCGCGTGTGCGAGTGGCTGTAGCAGTTATTGGTTTTGCAGGCCTGCAGTTTCCTCTCTAAAGCCACAACGTGAGCATGTGTTATTGTTAAATCA